TCAGTTGTAACTGGATTAGCCCCCTGACCAAACTCACCAGATAAGTGCATGTAAGTCTGTGGGAAGGCAAAGCAGGCATGGCAGCCTACAGCCAGGTAAAATGCAAGCCTGCTTCGTTCCACCACCACGCCAATTTTTGAGTGATCTTTTGCACAAGATTCAGAAACTTGAGTTTTCTATCACCCAAACAAGGTGCTGAAGTTAATCCCCACTACTTCATCAGATGACAAGTTGAGTACCAAATCCCAGCACTATGTGGAAGGAAACACTTCGAAATATACTTTTTTTTCCCCCATCAGTGCTTTCACTAATAGCCAGTTCCAACAATTTTCCATCTTTGGCACTTGAAGCCAGACCTTTTTGAACTGACGCAGTTTCAGCATTGAAGTTTAGGTAATATAGCCATACAGCCTGACTATTTGGCAAAAACTGGCCTTGTTGTCAGGGTCACCAATGCATCATGTAAATTCAGTGCCAAGAAGGAAATCAGGTGGTTTCAGGGAATGACATAATTTCATTTTATTTCCTCATTTATTAACTTGGCAAGTAAAATCTTGGACTAATGAGCTGTAAAATAGTGAATACTACAGATCTTAAAGCATGCAATTAGATCTCTAATTTTGCCCTTTAAATCTGTGAGAGACAAAACACCTCATTTGTTCTATTGTGCCCTTTACCAGCTGTACCCAAGGGACACCCAAAATGGGGAAAGCCGCATTGGCAAAGTTAACTGATATGCAAACAGGTGCAGGATTCCGGTTCAATTCATTAAGTTCCATTCTGCCTTCCCCTACAACCATCCCCAAGAGAAGAAACAACATGATTATCTCCTGCAATACTATCAACAAATTTGTATAAAGTTCCCCATTTTAGCAGCAAGGCTTCTGTGAGGATCGAAAATCAGAAAGTTGTTAAGGTAAATTTACATGTAGTCTCCAAACTGGAAACCAGACCAAAAATTGCACTTGTACTATTATCTGTAAAACTTGAAAATATTAAAAGGACTTAATGCAGAAAGCTTAAGTTACAAGCAATACAAGCAATATTTTAGATTATCACTAATTTTATTATGTTTACCATCAGTTACTGAGGCAATACTTCAAGAATGCATAAATTATCAGTATCAGAAAGGTACGCCATCAGATACTGAAATTGTTTACAACAATTGGGGGGTGTCAGGTTTTTTCAGAGGAAACATTATGATGGTTTTCTCCATAAAATTCATCAATTACAAACCTGAAGCAAGTTCAGTATTTGGTAAATACACATAATCCTAAGGATATTAACTAAGCAAGTGCATATATGTGAATATTAGCTCGGTAGCTGTCTGGAACCAAAGTAATGAACCCTGCCACACCCTTTTATTGCAAGAACCAGTGCAGTAGAAAGTGGTGAAAACAAGCGAGACAAACCCTGTCTGACACACAAATATCTCAGCATTGCACTCCCCAGTGCATCCAGGAACATAGGAGAATTTTAATTTATTTTGTTTTCTACAGAGCCAACCTGTATCTAGCAGGATTTATCTGTTCAGATTTCATGCCTTGCAAAAGTATTCATACCAGCTGGGAAACACAAGCTATCACTGGAAGCAGCAAAGCTATGTCCATGCAATCTTATATCTCAAATAACAAGCTGGTGTAACACACTATCTGAAATCCTACAATCCAACCTAAAATAACTAAGAATTGATTATTGTATTTTTACAAGGCAGTAAACAAGAGCTCCAATGCACTAAAAGCAGAGTAAAGCTATTGCAACAACAACGAAGAAGTTTACATAATAAAAAGTCTGACCTTTTAAACGATTAAGCGCATTACTAAATCATCCTCATGTGAGAAGCTCAATTTCAGACAATAGTATGAGTCATATGAGTAAACATGGTGTTTGGAAAACTTGCCTAAAGTAGGGTTGGAAGACCTCAATTGCTTAACTCTTTCCATTACAGAAATACAAAAATGCCTTACTTTTGAGAAACCAACAGACCTTTGAAAGTCAGTAGAGAGACATAAAATAAATACTTCAAAAAATACATCCAAATAATACATTAAAATTGAAAACAAAGAAACACAGGGAGCAAGTTATCTGTTCAATATTTCCTACACAGTCTCCACCTACTCAAATATATTTTTCTTTTTTATGTAAGAGTAGAAATATCAGAAGTTCTTCATATTCTTTTTTAGGGCATTTGTATACCAATTCATTAATCTGAAAATGTCTCCCCAAAATAACACTTTATTTTCCTCATTTTTGTCATGTAGGCAATTCATATCAATTTGATCAATACTGACTGCAACTCTGGTTCTCTCTTGCCCCAGAAACAATGTTTTACTGCCAGAATGTGCTAAGTTTTGATCCCTCCCCACTTCCAATTTCAGTTACTGTTGTGAGGAATCAGCAGATCTAAAAAGCAAGGCAAGTGGGACAACTTTGACAACTCTGAAATAAAAATTTAAAACTGAAAGCAACCACCAGCTCACAGAGTTCAGTATTTTGTCATCGTAAGCAATAATGGAAATGTATCAGAAAGGACAAAAAAAGGTCTGGTATCCACTAACCACGAGCATAGCTCTTCCTGTTTCCCAATTTGAAATCTTTGGTGCAAACCACAAATCTATCGGGAAAAAAATACTGTGCCATGTAAGACATATAAAGAAAGTAAGTCAAGGACATGGGTGAAAGAGCCTAGATTCTCCCAGGAAAGGATGACACACAGCACTGCAAAGGTAAAAAACCCCTTGGGGTTATCAGCCTCATCCAGGAGAACCTTCAGTAACTGGGACCTAAGGAATAACAATCTAATTAGCATGAACATTTGCATGAGATGCAACACTTCTGCAGTGCAGTCATTTGTCCCAAAATAACACTCCACTTCCTCATACCAAAAGGAGCAAGGCCTGCTCATTTGGCAGACCCCAGTCCACATGTGGATTGCAATTAAATTTTGTTCACAGCACAGAAAACGTTGACATCTGGTTTATGCAAGATCTTACCCCTCCTGAAGATAGCACAGTCTGTCGTGAAGTAACAGGAGTCAACTCATCACAACTCCTTGCCATAAAGGCAGCATGCAATTTCTGGCCAAGCAGACCTTTGTAAAAGCCTACAGAGACTTGCACCAGAAATATTGTTGTTGCTATGAATGAAATAAATGGAAATGTATGAAATCACTGGAAAAAAATGACAGAACAAGGTTTAAAAGAATGACCTGTACTGATAATGAGTAATCCTGTTAGGAGCAGCATCCCAGGAAAAGTAAAATTGAGGAATGTGTTGTTTATATCAAGACCAGAAGGCCTGCCCTCTGTAAGATCACAGCACAGTGACTCATCAGCAGAAGATCCTGCCTTCCTAACATCAGGAAGATGGAAAGCTGGAGCATGTTACATACGACAGTCCTTTTCCTGTATGGCTGACAGGAAAACAGACATGTATTTAAAAAAAAAAAAAAGAAAGAAAAACAGATAACAAGTATGAACTTCACTTAAGATTTACCGAGATTAGACTCTTTCTTGCATCAAAGGACTATTTACATATAAAGTTGAATACCATAAAAGATCTGTCCAAAGACCAGTTCATCGTCACCAATGAAAAAATGTCAGAGATGTGAGGCGGATCTGACAGCCAGCATCTCTGGTATTGCACAAAAGAGGTACTGGTCCAACCAAACTCGCACACAACTTCGTGCTTGTAATTATTATCAGTATGACAGTGCGAGTGAATGAAATTCATTAGAGAATGAGTGGAAGCCGGTAAAATCAGCATCACTTTCCCCATTCATAAGATCCTGCACTGAATTTTGTTACACTAAACCTTCTACAAGTCATCCTCCAAATCTTTAAAAAACGGGATTTGACATGCAATCAAGAAATGGTTCTAAACCACCATGCAATTCCACTGATACTTTTACAAAAATACCTCTTTTAAAGCTTGAATAAGAGAAGGGAGAGAATACACAGTACAAAAACAAACAAAAAATCCTCATTAAATTCTGAATTTTTTCAATTTTTAAATATGTAGTTAAATAAAGTCAGCAAAATTCATTTTTCTGCTTTTCCAACAGTACCTTTAATTCACAGTTGTAAAGACCTCAGCAAAGCATACTAGTATTGTCTTATTTCCAGAAATTAACTGTTGCTTAGCCAGAAGTTAACTAGAATTTCTATTTTGAAGACTGTTGCCATCATTCTCCTAAAGAGAATGCATCCTGTCAAGAAGACAGCCAGAGGTTCAAGGAAAATAATAACTCATAGAAACTAACTAAATCACAGAAAGCCAAGAAAAAAACCATAATCATCACACCTTATTTATATCTTAGTAAAGAAGCATATCTCAAAATTTAGCAATTTTTTCAGCTTTTTAAAAGTAATTTAAGTGAATAAGCCAACTGGCATGCCAATGTCAAAAGAATATGATGATTTGAAATTGTCAAAATAACAAATTAGAGAGACATTGACATTTCTATGTGCAAATATGAAAAGATACAGTATCAGGTGATACTGTAATTATGTATCTCCAAATGACTACATCCTCCCTCCCATTTTTTTTTTTTTCCTAATTAACTTCTAAAAAGCCCTAGCCCATCTCTTTTGGGTATGGATTACAGTTTCTTGTTACTGACAGAACATACATTTCAATTCTTACTTTCTATTTGAATACAAGGATTTATTTATGTGCTACATAAACAACATTCTCCTGTACATTAGTTAACAGTCTACTGAGAACAAAAATTTTCTTTCCCTTTTTTTTCCTCCCCATAGCACAAGTAGCCAAGGGAGAGAGGAGTTTTCAACACAGGCCAGAAGCTATCCCATTTCACTAGATACAGTCACTAAATATTTATTTACTTTTGGAAGAAAAGTTTCACACTGCTCAGTTTTATACAACGCTAACCAATAATGCAGCAGTATTCTATATTTATTATACTTCACACATAAAACACAATATGCCAACTTTTTTTTTTTTTTTAAAGCCACCATAAAAACAAATAGAAAGCTTACCTTCTTCTGGTACCAAACTATAGCATCAGTTACTTTGGACGCCATTTATTCCACTGAATTCACACAGTCATTTTAGGCTGTTAACAGAAAAAGACAGAACTTTACTTCCACGTTCCCTACAAAGGCCAACATAGGGAATGTAGAAACACTCCCATTACCTGAAAAGCACTGAACAGCTATATTTACTTTACACCTTGCCTCATTACTATTCGAGTGTGAGTTTGGGCTTTCTCCTCTAAGTAAACTAAAAATTACAAGTCTGCTGCTACAGGACATCACAAGCCTCAGTTTCGTCCATCCTTCCCAGCGAAACACAGGTGGCACAGAGATGATCTCTTACTGTCTCAAGAGAGCCTCATGAGAGTTCTATTACATGCAGTATTTTTTTTCCTGATAAATTAAGGAACCTATAGTTATCACCACAGCACAGTATTCTGAAGTCCAAGAATAATTGTGTTACAAAATGGAAGAAAATTTCATACATACTATTAGATATTTTTGGAGGAAAAAAACCAGTGCAAGAACTCCATTAATTATAAAATCAATACACTCATGAAAACAGTAGACTAAAACTAAGTCAAAAGAGAAAAACATGGAAAAGTGGTATGTTTGTTTTAATGGCAGCAAATAATGGTAGTATTAGTTAATCTTTGATGCCACTGTCATTAGTTTCAATGTGGAAAAAAACCCAAAACTTTCAGCCCGCATTCCTACCTTGAAAATTAATTTTAAAAGTTTTCGTTCATGTAATCAATCAGCCAGAGTTAGTTCAGGAAAAAAATAGTAAGAATAAAGAAAATAAACATAAAAAGCCTTCAGATTCAGAATTATTGTCTTTCTACAGAATTGCATATATTGTCTCATACTGGACATTTTGTAAAATCAAAGAAAAGTTTAGGTGAGAATTACAGAATCCTTTCCAGATATTTTATTACAATATGCAAGTTCTTTCAGATATGAATGTATTATCATTAAAACTAAACTCAAATATTTCAAATAGATTACTTCAGATGTTAACAGATTAATAACAGTTAAATTAGTTTAGTACCTACATTTCAAACTGCTAATTAAGGAAGGAAGCGGCCAGTGGAAGAAAAGAAGGAAGAAGGAATTTAAAAAAAAATGTTAAAATATTTGACAAAAAATCTGAATACTTGTGTTTAATAATCTTTCATCTGATTAATTCCCTTTCAAAATATGCCATACTCAAGCCCAGTCAATTGGGCACACTATACCACATGTGACTTTTTAAACTTAGTTGGAAAAAGCTTAAGTTTTCAGCTCCACTTAATACTCAGCATCCTTCCTACATTTACAGAAAGTTTAAAAATGTTATTTTTATATAACTGCACCAAGTATTTAACATGCAAGGAAATTCCTAACAAATCATGCAAAAGGCTTTGAAGAGGTTAGGGTAACTAACTTCATAGTCTTAAACGAGTTTTCCAAACGTACTAACTGAACAATTCCAGGATCAAGCATAATTGGTAAAAATCAACACAAGATCTCTTAAGCAAACTTCGCAGTTTCACAGAATCACAGCATGGCTGAGGTTGGCAGGGACCTCTGGAGGTTGCCTGGTCCAACCCCCCTGCTCAACCCCCTGGAGCAAGTTGCCCAGGACCATGCCCAATGGCTGTTGAATATCTCCAAGGATGGAAACTCCACAACCTCTTCAGGCAACCTGCACCAATGCTCGGTCACCTTCACAGTGATAAAGCGTTTCTCGACGTTCAGAAGGAGCGTCCTGCATTTCAGTGTGTGCCCATTGCCTCTGGTCCTGTCACTGGGCACCGCTGGAAAGAGCCTGGCTCCATCTCCTTTGCACCCTCCCTTCAGGTATTTATCAACATTGATCAGATCCCCCGGAGCCTTCTCTTCGCCAGGCTGAACAGTTCCAGCTCCCTCAGCCTTCCCTCACAAGAGGGATGCTCCAGTCCCTTCACCATCTCTGTGGTCCTTGGTTGGACCCTCTCCAGTACATCTGTGCCCCTCTTGTACTGGTGAACCTGGAACTGGACCCAGCACCCCAGGCGTGGCCCCACCAGTGGTGAGGAGGAAGGGTGGTAGTTTAGCCCCCAAAAACACCAAACTGTGCATCAAGCATTCTTTCAAGATGGATCTTTCAGAAAAGAAATGTGATTAAGGGGCATATTTCTGATAAAAATACCGCACTTATCATAACATTGCCAATATCAACAACAATACTGCACCTTATATTCCCTCATTAAAAGGAAACAAGAATTATTAATCTGTGGGCAGTTTTTATAGTGAAAGAATAAAGGTGATCTTTGTCTTTAAAACAAAGAGAAAGATAAGACATTTGTTTACAACATTTGCACAGATAAGAAAGGTAAGAAAAATATGATGTCCAACAGATAGGACAGAAACTGAAACTGTGCAATAGATTAAAAGTCTCTTTATGAAATGCCTAAGCATTAGAATAACTCATGACACTTTATTATACATGTTCATCACCAAAAAAATATCAGTTTCTTAAAAAAAAAAAGTAGAGATTAGATTACCTGATTATAACTGCTGTTTGTAAGAAAATCACAAATACTCCCTCTACAAAAGTCCTATCAACACTGCCGTCTTCCAAGACATTTCTCAGAATGAAAAGATGACCCTCCAAAACACTCAGTTCTGCACTGACACCCATTTATTCAGTCTTCCCTCTCTCATGCATGGATGTACTCATATTTTACACAGCGCATTACTTTAAAGACACTGTATTTAGTAAGTTTGGCTATGTATCATATACGCTGTAGTACAAACCTTCAACAGACTGATTTTATACCAGCTCCTGAGGAGGAGGAAACATTTTCATGTTTCACAAAGCTTTTTCAAAAAGAGAAATCAAATACCCAAAAGGAACTATATTTAAGATTTCTAACAGTGTAACTCCAATATCCTTTGTACAACCTTAATTAAAATTACAACACAATAAGAAGAAATGTCTCGGAGAGCTTAGACAGTCACTAACAAATTTCAGAAATATCAGGACACTGACTTCTGGTGCAACTGAGCAAACACACACTGCAATTTTTCCACTGTTGACAATATCATCGTGTAAGTCACATCAAGTCAGTTAAAGCTGGCAGCCATGACTGTGTCAACATCTGTAATTGTTTCCGACCTATTTGTTTCTGATAATAGTAGCAGTTTTACTAAGAGCAACTATCAGTTATTAAGAACTCATTGGCACAATAAATATAAAATATTTCTATCACTTACAGCATGAAGCCCAACAAGAGACTTTGCTATAACTTGGTATATTATATAGACTGGTTACCATTCTTTCTCAGCCATACAAAGCTTAAAATAGGATTTGCTTGCTTGCTTGAAAACCTGTTTAAGTACACTTAAATTTAAAATCATCTGCTACACTGGGCTATAGACTCAAAGTGACATAAAACCCTTAAGCCATACATAGCCTTCACATTCAATGTGACCTACATCGCACTGTCACAGCAAAAGCAGTTCTGCTGCTCACGGAGGTGCTGACATAGGAAGGATGATTTTGATTTTGAAGGATGATTGTGATTTTGATTACACTTGCACCTCTCACCTTCCCCTCCTTTGTGAACCCATCTTGGAGTATCTTGAACTCCTTCTCATGTCTCTTAAACTAACATCCCGTCTCACGTACAATATACCCTGCTTCCTACCACCATAATCAGAGGATTAGAAAAAGGCTGAAGGAACTCATTATCAGCAGTAAAGAACTGTTGAACCTGCACAGAAACCTTTCCCTCAACAGCTACCTTAACTTGATCACTCTCTCTCCCCCGCCTCTCCCCCCAAGGTCAAGGATTTTTCAGGAAACGAATGCTAACATATGAATCCAAGACTTCCAACTGTGTCAATTACGGCTAAAAGTGGACAAGCAATTTCAAAGGCAGCGACATTTTTTTGCAGTAGTTCTTCAATTCACTTAAAACCCCTTCGCCTCGAGAAACAGTTACATCACGAAACTAAGAACCAAGTATAATGAAGCAGTTTTATTATTAATTTATTTGATTTCTATCAACAACCCTATTATTTAGATTACCCATGGTTTTCACATTTTTAAGAAACTCGCTACATTAAATCCTCCACAGAGTCTGTTTTGGTGGTGTTTAAAGCATATTTGCATACACATTTGCATACACAAATGCAAAGATGATGCTTAAAAAAGCAACTATGACAAAATCATGGAGTGGATGTCCAAAAGACTTTAACAGAGTTTGATGTGCTAAGTAAAAGTACCTCTACAAGGAAACACCATGTACGCTTTCTTCAAGAGATATACCACAATTTCTGAGACAGCACTGAAATGAAAGGTAATAAAGTTTGTTTAATTATTTCTGGACAGTGTTGCTTTTTGCAGGGGTTGGCATTTGTCTGTGGTTTGGTTTTTCGGTTTAGGGTTTTTTTGAGACAATATAATGAGTTTGATACATTTGGCTTGAAGCTAACTTATCTGGATGAGAAATGGTAATGACAGTAACAACTTAAGGCACTTAAGCTGCAGCCCTGGCTCTGCATCTGCCCAGAAATCACTGAACGCCCAGACAGGAGGCTAAGTATTGCAACAATTTCAGAACTCAGCATATTCATGACAAGTTACTAAGTTATTCACCTGACCATTTATATTGATATTGATCCTGAAGTCAGACTGTACAAGCTGTGTCCGAAGGCACATGAGTACCAAATTGGTAAAGTGAGCAAATCAAAACAGCTGATACACATCCACAAGCACAGCAGAGCACTGCCTATTCTTCTCCCTTGTTCCCCTCCCATCCTCTCCAGATCTAGCCATTTGTTTCATCTGCATCTGGGTCAGGGAGCAGCTTTTGCACTCAGAATCACAGAATTGGTTTGGTTGGAAGAGATCCCTGAGATCATTGAGTCCAACTTCTGCCCTAACACCACCATGTCAACTAGACCATGGCACTAAGCACCACATCCAGTCTTTTCTCAAACACCTCCAGGGATGGTGACTCCACCACCTCCCTGGGCAGCCCATTGCAATGACTAATGACCCTTTCTGTGAAGAAACG